TATCCGTCTATTGGACCCCAGTTCCTTCCATAAAACCTCTAAATTTAGTCGTCGTTTAGACCTGGAGCTCTGTGGTATTTGATGGTTCCTCTTGAGCTGCTGGATCTGGGTCTGCCGAAGCAGCAGAGCAGAACTGCAGTCAGGATCAGTATCACACCAGCTGCCCAGCCGATATAGATGCTCGCTCCCAGCTCTGTCTTCTGGCTCCATGTTAGGATGGGGTTGTAGGAATCTTTTATTAGGGTGTGCGCCACCCAGCTGACCGGGGTGATCACCAGCAGGGCGGCCAGCAGCAGGCCCACTGCGGCCATCAGGCTGAGTTTGGGCTTGGTGCCTTGGTTCTGAAAACATCTGGTCAAGTCGGAACCAAAGAACATGATGAAGAGGCTGAGCCCACAGAGGATGCAGCTGATGACGGTCATGGGCCGGCCGGTCTGAAGGTCAGAGGGTAACACCAGCAAGGAGTCGTACGCTTTGCACATCAGCTGTCCAGTGCTCTGCTTCACACAGTTCATCCAGAGACCTTCATAAATCACCTAAACACACAGAAACAAAATATTACATATTCTAAATATTCTACACATTAAATCAAATACAAAACCTAATATATTTCTATTTCCAGAAACTTTGGACACTTCTTTGGGATTGAAATGAGTCATTTGCCAAACATGGGCTGAAAGGATGAACTTAATATCCGTCGCTGGATGGATATTGAGTTCATCATGTTCTATTTCAGCACAGATTATTTTATTACAATCAAAAAACAGACGCCAGAGTCAGAGAGTTTGACGTTCTCCATCATGTGGATGTTTGCAGCAAGAGCAACTGGTTCACTTCACAAAATATATGGCATCATGAGGAAAGAACATTATGTGGAAATAGTGAAGCAGCGTCCGAAGCGTCTTTCAAACGGATAATGACCCAAAGCATAAAGCCACTCAGAACAACAAAGTTAATGTGTCTTTGTGGAGCCATGATGTCAAAATTAGTGAGCAGAGCTGAAAAGCTCACATGGCTCCATATTGGCTCAGTCAGCAGGAATGGAGCCACGTTTAAGCAAACTATAGTGGAAGAAACCCAAGTCTTTTATCTGTCAACACAGAGAAAAGAATATGTGAACTGAGAAGAATCTCCTAAAAATTATCTCAAAATATTTTGGCATTTAGTGAAAAAAATGTTTGCAATCAGAAACAATTTGTAAGTTTTATTTATTTTTTATTTTAATCTGAGGTTC